TCACTTCCATAAGCTTTTGAGTTTTAAATTTTCTCCCATCCCTCCCCACCTCCCTCCCCAAGTTGGCATGTAATGTGATAAAGGCTGTACATATACATTCCTGTTAAATATATTTTCACATTAATCTTGTTGTAAAGAAGAATGAGAATCAATAGAAGGAAGCAGAAGACAGAAGAAACAAAATAAAACAGAAGAAAAAAAGAGCAAATAGTATGCTTCAATCTGCATTCAGACTCCATAGTTCTTTCTCTGCATGTGGATAGCATTTTCCATTCTGAGTCTTTTGGAGGTATCTTAGATCTTTGTATTGCTGAGAAGAGCTAAGTCTATCAAATTTAGTCATTGCACAGCGTGGCTGTTACTGTGTATAATGTTCTCCTGGTTCTGCTCATTTCACTCAGCATCAGTCCATACAAGTCTTTCCAGGTTTTTCTGAAGTCTACCTGCTCATAAACATTTCTTTTGCACAATAGTATTCCATTACATTCATACACCACACTTTATTCAGGCATTCCCCAATTGATGGGCGTCCCCTCAATTTCCAATTCTTTGTAGGCAGCTTTTTCAATCTAAGATTTTCATCAAAATGTTCATACTTAAAGAGTTTACCTTGGGCAGCTAGGTGGCACAGTGGGCAGCTAGGTGGCACAGTGTATACAGCATGGGCCCTGGAGTCAGGAGGACCTGAGTTCAAATCCAGCCACAGACACATAAGACTCACTAGATGTGTGACCCTGGGCAAGTCACAAAAAAAAAAAGAGTTTACTTGGAAACTATTTAGAAAATTTACTTATACAAGATAATTCTTTCTTTGATGAGACTGGTTAAGTAAAGTATACCTTAAAGTCTCTTCATGTTTTGGTTTAGTGTTCCTACTCTGTAGCAAACTACACAGGCTACAAGTTATAAATTGAAAAGTTCTACATGATATATTCATATTTCCTTTTTGATAATAATGGAATCTTAAATTCTTCACATGAGGTCAAAATTGCTATTTAGAAACTAAAAACTAAATGCTTATTCTGTGTCTCAGAGTTGTTAAGACATCTAATGTCTGAGAAAAATGTTCTTTGGCTTTTCCTCTTCTGAAAATCAGGTAGCACTTGTTGGATAATTAGGATTCAAGAGACTAAGAATAAATGTTATATGTTGTCGTGGAAAGCTGAAACTCCAAGTTTCAACCGAGTCCTTAAGCATTTGAACAAGAAGTAATTATAAGCAAAATGCTTCTCTGACTTAGGTAAGATGAATATCTACCATATCCCTCATTTTAAATGAAATTCTACACTGAGCTGAAGACCAACAATGCTTTGTTTATAGACCTGCTCAAATCTCAAGAATATGAGCTGAACCTACAGGATCTTCAGTTTTGAAGTGCAAAGCAATTCCAAGACTTATTAATCATTTACCACATATGGGTTTCTCTAGTCCCAATGAAGCATGAGTTGTCATCATAGAAAATAAATGCTAAATATGGAGAACCTAGGTTCAAATACCAGCTCAGCTATTTGCTGATCTTACGGGTATGTGGGGTGTTCAGGGAGAACTAGCTCCTCTGGTGTAATGGATTGCTGAGCCCTTTTCAGGTCTACTCATCTACCTTTGGGGTCTACATTTCAACCAACTCCCTCCTGTAGCTCTAAGAAGCTGTGGCAAGTAGTGGCTGCAAACTGGTAAAACTGGTTTAGCAGACAAGCTAACCAGGTTGAGGGTACCCAACAGGTCTCAAACCCATCAGAAAAACCCTCCAAGTAAAAACAAAAGAACTGACTGTGACTCCATGATATTTGAATTAGTTTTTCCAGATTCCTTACAATATTTTCTCCTTGACATGGGAGCTCAAATTTGCCTATAATATTCCTGAGAATTTTCATTTTGGGATCTCTTTCAGAAGGTGATTAGTGGATTCTTTTAATTTCTTCAGTATTTTTTTGGGTCTCCTTTAGCAAGCTGTTGACTTGTTTTTCATGATTTTCTTGCATCACTCTCATTTCTCTTCCCAGTTTTTCCTCTGCTTCCCTTACTTGCTTCTCAAAATCCCTTTTGAACTCTTCCAAGGCCTGGGACTGATTCATAGTTTTCTTGGAGGCTTTGGATGTAGGAGCTTTGACTTTGTTGTCTTCTTCTGGTTGTATATTTTGATCTTCTTTTCCACCAAAGTAAGATAATACAGTTTGACTCTTTTTGCGCTGCTTGCTCATGATCCCAGCCAATTACTTGAGTTTTAAACTCTTTGTTAAGGTACAAATCTGCTTCCAATGTGGAGAATGTACTGTCCCGAGCTTGGGGTGGGGTTGTACAGCTGTTTTCCGAGATACTTGTAGGGCCCTGTAAATTTTCAGTTCTTCCAAGGTGGTATGATAAGGGGCAAGGTGTTTACTCCTTTCCTGGCCTGCGACTACAAGTACTCCTTTCTGTCCTGTAACTGTGCGGAGGGGCTCCTCTCTCTACAATCACTACAAGCTCCACCAAGCCAGCGCTCCTCCTCACCCCAGCACTGCCGCCCAGAACTGTGGCCCAGATCCAAACACGGGCAAAGCAAGAGATTCCTACCTCAGCACTGGCAAAGAGATCCCTGCAATCCCTCTCTGATCAGCCACTGGGTTCCCCCTCAGTCTATGGACTGGAAGCTCGGGAAGCAGCTGCCCCCCCCCCAGCGCCAGGTTCTTGGGGAATGGAGCTGAAACCCTACCTTCCTTTCTCAGCACCGACAGAAACAGACTTTTCCCACTGACCTTCCAAGTTGTCTTTGGCATTGGTGGATTGAGGAGTCTGGAAACCTCCACAGCTGCCAGAGATTCAGTCCTCTGAGGCCTGCTCCAGGTTCGCAAGGGCCTGCGCGCCCACGCTGCGCTGCACTCCCCGCCCTGTGCGATACACCTTTCTGATCAATCATCCAGGTTGTCTTGGGCAGGAAGTTTGTTTCACTCTGTCTTTTTGTGGGTTCTGCTGCTTCAGAATTTGTTTAGAGCCATTTTTTATGAGTATTTGCAGGGGTTTGGAGGAGAGCTCAAGCAAGTCACTGCTTTTACTCTGCCATCTTGGCTCCGCCTCCAATTCTTTTAATTTCTATTTTATCCTCTGGATCTAAAATATTGGGCAGGATTCCATTATAATTTCTTGGAATATGATATCTAGGTTCTTTTTTTTTTTAATTGTGGCTTTTGGGTAGTCTAATAAGTCTTTAATGATCTCTCCTTGATCTATTTTCCAGGTCAGTTGTTTTTCCAATGAAATATTTTCACATTATTTTCTATTTTTTCATTCCTTTGGTTTGTTTTCTTGTTTCTTAAGTTATCATGGAGTCATTAGCTTCCATTTCACCCATTTTAATTTTTAAGGAATTAGTCTGGCTTATATGCAATTGTTTGCATGTTGTCTCCTTAGTTAAACTGTCATCTTCTTGAGGGTAAGAACTATTTTTTTTAATCATTCTTTGTATTCTCAGTGCGTACATAGTATCTGACACGTGGTAGGCACTTAATAAATGGTTGTTGACTTACTATCCATGCTACCTTTATGCTTCCTCTTCTCATGGTATTGTCCAAATTGAGGCCCTCTACTTTAAAAACCAAGCAATTTTCAACAGTTTGACCCATGCTGGCCACTTCAGGGATGTTGAAAGAGGCTCCTTCTTTAGGTTGAGTTTGGACCGGATTACTTCTGAGGTCCCTTGCAAATTATAGATTCTCTGAAATAAATCACAATGTAAATGAAATTGATTTTGTTTTTTTGGCTACAATAAACATCATCATACATAGAAAATATTGAATTAATTCTAATGGAAAAATTCAAGGTTTTTAGCTGTGCCTTTATCAAATATAATCTGTTAGATTAAAGTTTAAAAAATATAGCAACTGGGGAAGTTAATAATTCTAGCTACAACTATCTGACCTTGGTTCATGATGAACAGAAAAAAATTCTTTCCTTTATAATTTAACTATGTTTCATTCATAACTGTAGCATAATGTTGTTTTCATTAAATGCTGTCTAGCTGTAAAATTACTTATGTGAAAACTAGTAGCACTGACTAATGTAAAATACTGTTTACTTTAATTGGGCAATTGAAAACAAGAGAGTTTTACATTGGAATGATCTGAAGTTTGTAGGAGACATTTTTTCATAAGAGCCTGGGGCCTAAAATTCAAAACAGTGAAATATGGTATATTAGACTGTTTTAAGTGTTTTTTTATTGCTAGTGATGTGTCCATAAAATATTAAGTGAAAGTGAACATCTTTACATTCTGTGTTTTAAAAATCTGTTTTTCATGACTTGATTTATCTTCAGAGAAATATCTCATAAAGCATTTACTCTGCATTGTTAGACAGAAATGAAATATAAAAAGTTTTCCTCAGCCATAATCAGTTTTATTGGCAGGTAAATGGATAAGCTTTGTTTAGTTAAATAACCTAGAATCCTCTGTATAGAGCAATTCTGTTATTTTCATTTCTTTTTCCTACTATATTATTTACAGTAGCCTCAGGATACTGAAAACTACCCTACAGATTTTTCCTTAATACAGTTTAGACATTTAAGATGTATGTGATATCAGTGACTATGGTACTAGGAGAATACCTCTACAATACTGGTATACCTCCTATACAATTGATAGTCTAACCACTGGATTTTAGCATAAGTTGTAGGCATACATACTATTTACATTAGTCTTGTTTCTTGTTTTCAGTGTTGCAAACAAGCTTTCCATTGAAGTGTCCTGTGGCTGAAACTTTTTCAAAGTAGACCAAATTCCCTCATAAAGATCCAGGTTTTATGTATCAGCATAGCATACAAAGCAAGTTAACCTGCTGCTAATTTAATGCTGTAATTGGTTACAGTTAATGCTGTATTTCACACTCGGGTTCAATACCGTTCATTGAAAGCTATGACTGAAAATATCAATTAACTTATACCTGATGTGAGATAGACTTTGAGCTATTCTGGACTTAATAGAAATTTTCCATTTTACCCCCCATAATATTCTTACTGGTTTTTTTTTTAGGTTACTTTCCACATTGAACCATATAAAAATCGAGATGATCACAGTATGCACAAAAGTATCAAGTACATTATAGACAAGTGAGTTTCTTTAATAATTATTATTATTGTTTGCTCTTTTACCTTCTCTTATAACAAGCTAATATTACTTAATGATATTTGAAGTTATAGATGCAGGAAAACCTTATGACAAAATGCAACACCCATTCCTATTAAAAACACTAGAGGCATAGGAATAAATGGAGTCTTCCTTCAAATGATAAGTAGCATCTACCTAAAACCATCAGCAAGCATTATATGTAATGGGGATAAGCTAGAAGCATTTCCAAAAAGGTTGAGGATAAAATAAGGATGTCCATTATCACCACTGTTATTTGATATGGTACTAGAAACATTAGCTTTAGCAATAAGAGAAGAAAAAGAAATTAAAGGTATTAGAATAGGCAAAGAAGAAACAAAGCTATCACTCTTTGCAGATGATATGATGATATACTTAGAGAATCAAGTAAAAAACTACTTGAAATAATAACTTTAGCAAAGTTGCAGGATATAAAATAAACTCACATAAATCATTGGCATTTCTATATATTACTAACAAAGCCCAACAGCAAGAGATAGAGAAATTCCATTTAAAGTTACTATAGATATTGTAAAATATTTAGGAATCTACCTGCTGAAACAAAACCAGGAACTATATGTACACAATTACAAATTACTTTTCACACAATTAAAGTCAGATGTAAATAATTGGAAAAACATCAGTTGCTACTGGGTAGGCCAAGCTAATATAATAAAAATGACAGTGCTACCTAAATTTACTTACTCAGTGCCATACCAATCAAACTACCAAAAAATTACTTTATAGAGCTAGAAAAAATAATAACCAGATTCATCTGGAGGAACAAAAGGTCCAGAATATCAAGGGAACTAATGAAAAGAAATGCTAGGGAAGGTGGCCTAGTCATACCAGATCTTAAATTGCATTATAAAGTAGCAATCATCAAAACTACTTGGTACTGGCTAAGAAATAGAGTGGTGGATCAATGAAGTACACAAGACACAGCAGTCAATGACTATAGTAATTTACTGTTTGGTAAACCCAAAGACCCCATCTTCTTGGATAAGAACTTACTATTTGATAAAAACTGCTGGGAAGACTGGAAAAGAATATGGCAGAAACTAGGCATAGACCAACATCTTATACCATATGCCAAAATAAAGTCAAAATGTGTTCATAATTTAGATATAAAGGCTGATACTATAAGCAAAATGAGACCACAAGGAATAGTTTACATGTCAGATTTATGGAGAACAGAAGAATTTATGACCAAACAAGAGATAGAGAACATTATGAAATACAAAATGGATAATTTTGATGACATTAAATTGAAAAGTTTCTGCACAAACAAAAGCCAATGCAACCAAGATGAAGAGGGAAGCAGAGAACTGGGAAATAATTCTTACAACCAGTGTCTCTGATGAGGGCCTCATTTCTAAAATATAGAGGAGAATAAGTCAAATTTGTAAGAATATAAGTCATTTCCCAGTTGATAAATGGTCAAAGGATATGAACAGGCAGTTTTCAGATGAAGAAATGAAAGCTACCTATAGTCATATAAAAAAATCTCTAAATCACTATTGATTAGAGAAATGCAAATCAAAACAACTCTGATTGGCTATCACAAAACAGGAAAGTGATAAATGTTGGAGAAGATGTGGGAAAATTGGAACACTAATACATTGTTTATGGAGTTGTGAACTGATCCAACCATTCTGGAGAGCAATTTGGAACTGTGCCCAAAGAACTATAAAAATGTGCATACCCTTTGACCCAGCAATAGCACTTCTAGGGCTGTATCCCAAAGAGATCACAAAAATGGGAAAAGGACCCACATGTACAAAAATCTTTAAAGCAGCTCTTTCTATGGAAGCAAAGAATTGGAAATTGAGTAGATGCCCATCAATTGGGGAATGGCTGAACAAATTGTGGTATATGAATGTAATGGAATACTATTGTGCTACAAGAAATGATGAGCAGGCAGACTTCAGAAAAACCTGGGAAGACTTGTATGTAAGTGAAGTAGAACCAGGAGAATATTGTACACAGGAACAGCCACATTATGAGATCACTAACTTTGATAGATTTAGCTCTTCTCAGCAGTGCAAGGGTCTAAAACATCTCCAAAAGACTCATGATAGAAAATGCTATCCACATCCAGAGAACGAACTATGGAGTCTGAATGCAGATCCAAAGCATACTATTTGCTCTTTTTTTTTTCTTCTGTGTTGTTTTGTTTCTTCTTTCTTGTGGTTCCTCCTGTTGGTTCTAATTCTTCTTTACAACATGACTAATGTGAAAATATGTTTATTAGGAATGTATAAGTTTGTGGAAGTAAATGTTGAAAAATAAAAATTATTTTAAAAATAAGATTTGAAGTTGTTTTCACAGTCTGCAACAAAATTATTTGCTATTTAATTAATTTTCCATTATAATTTGTGAACCATCTCACAAATGACAAAGTAAAACATTTCAGAAGGACTAAAACATTCAGTTATAGTATCAGTCCAAGCAATGGGGCAGTTAGGTGGCACAGTGGAGTACTGGGCCTGAAGGCAGATCTGGGCTCACATACAAGCTGTGTGACTCTGGGTAAGTCTCTTAACCCTATTTGTCTCAGTTTCTCATCTGTAAAATGAGCTGGAGAAGGAAATGGCAAACCACTCTAGTATCTGCCCAGAAAGCCCCAAATGGGCCCTCTAACAGTTGGACATAACTGAAACAACTAAACAACAACAAAATGAATGCAAGAAAGCTACAACTGGCTTTATCATTTAATTTATTTAGTAAGTTCTTTAGACTTCTCCTTTTGGAAGAACATTTTTCAATGTTTTTGTCTTCAGATTAGTGTACTACTAACAATTCTACCTTTTCAAAAAATGCATCACAACATGGTATATTGACTGCTGTGGTACAAATTGAAGGATTTATAGTGTAATCATTTAAAATCACTCCAAGTGCAGGGAAAAAGAAATTTCTATTTCTCCTCAAAGGATAAGAGGATATAATGGATATATCATGCTCTTACAAAGAACCTAATCAGCCCTAGTAGAGTATTTTAAAATATTAGCAATTTTAGTTTCCATGTTTGCTTAAGGATTATTTATGTATAATTTTGTTATTTATTGATATATCTGAGATCTAATTTGACTCTATGAAAAATTTAAAATATAATGATGTAGCAGCTTTTGGATGAAAGATAAGAACATTGGCTTTAAAATGCCCTGGTAATCAGGTTGGTAAGAAAAAAATACTTTTCTCTCATTAGTTATTTCTGACTATTTACATTAGTATTGTATATGTTTGTTTTCTAGATATGGAAGCCATCCGGCTTTTTACAGGTATAAGACCAACAGTGGCAGAGTCTTGCCCATGTTTTATGTGTATGATTCTTATTTCACGAAGCCAGAAACCTGGGCCAATCTTCTAACTGCCTCAGGGCCCCTGAGTATTCGTAACACTCCCTATGATGGATTGTTTATTGCTCTTCTTGTAGAAGAAAGACACAAACAGGAAATCCAGAGAAGTGGTTTTGATGGAATTTACACATACTTTGCCACAAATGGCTTCTCTTATGGCTCATCACATCACAACTGGGCAGATCTAAAAGCCTTTTGTGACAGCAACAGCTTACTGTTTATCCCGAGTGTGGGGCCAGGATACATAGACACCAAAGTCCGACCCTGGAACAACCACAACACTCGGAACCGAGTCAATGGGAAGTACTTTGAAACTGCTTTCAGTGCTGCTTTTCAAGTGCATCCTGATGTTATTTCCATCACCTCCTTTAATGAGTGGCACGAAGGAACTCAGATTGAAAAAGCAGTTCCCAAGAAAACTGAACGCATAGTATACCTTGATTACCAGCCTCACAAACCAGGTATTTATCTGGAACTCACTCGTAAATGGTCCGAAAAATACAGTAAGGAAAAGGAACAGTGGCTTGCGTGAAATGAATCCACTAGCCGTTTTAACATACTTAGTCCAAAGTGTAGTCATAATAAAAACAGTCCAACATATCAGATTATGCACAATATTTTGTCAGGTCTACAGAACAAATCTTTAAGTCAACATGCATTATTCTTGTATCTTTATTAGAATGAATATTGACTTTTGTAAAAGGTTGAAATAGCAATATTGTTACTGTCAACTTCTTGGAGGTTGTATTTTGAAAGTATTTGAGAAAAAAAGCTGTGCAATTTTTTATATTCTGTAAATTAGATTTAACTAACCTAAGATAATTTGTGAAACACTTATGTACAATATTAGCATAGTTTGTATCATTTAGGTCTGAAAATGAAATTTAGCTTTTATGACAGTTTAATTTTTATTTTATAGCCCATTGTGCAGAAAGTAATTAGCATCTAATTAGAGGCTACTTACTTCCTGGACACAGAAACCAGTTTTGGTTTGTCTGTGGTAGAAATCACTGTGGTAGAAAAAAGCAAGGTACTATAAAAGAATTGTTAATGTATGTGTTTCCTTTTTCAGTTTTGAAAGCCATTTCCCTCCAGTCACTCGGCTGGCTAACTTCATTCCTTCTTAAGAATTGAGGCTATTGGTTACTGGAACCAAAAATAGCAAAAACATTTCTATAAGATACAACATACACATAATCTGTTCCATAAGTTAGCATTACTAAATCATTGTTAAAGATAAAGGGCCCTTTCTGCATAGCTCGATGTATATTGTCATTTTGCCATTTTCTAAGTACCTATGCTATACTGTATGCTATGCAAGTCGTAAATGCCTTCTCTGTGGCAGAAAAGGTTTTATTTGGGGTCTTTAATATCCTGAATTTTAGATATAAAATGATTAGTAAAATACCATATATAAGTTTATCTCTGTCATATATACATCTATATGTATAGATATGCATGTAGATGTGTTTTTTAAAGCGGTGCAAATAGTACCAAAAAATCATTTTTTTCCTAGACTGTGGTATCTATCATGTTTTATTATTCTTGTTCCTTAGGGATTGAATTCAGCATTGAGATTTTAAATTAGTCTGAATGTAAGACTTCTTTTTTTCCCACATATCTAATTCATGTAAAACTTGAGTACAGCCTGTAGTCAGCATTTATGTATATATTATTTTATTTTCAACTCTAATTTTAAAGGCACAGTCCATTTTAGGAAATGGCCTATATACAGATTGATATGATACTGTATAAAATTATTTAAATGTACATAGAAAAAACTGAGTAAAGAATTTGGATTAATTTTATTTTGACAATTTTACTTTTACCCAAGTTTAGTTTTATTGTGGTAAGAACAAGAATAGTGTTAATCCTTTTAATATATAGAAATATATCTGCAACTTAGTACTTGGCACTTTCATAGCACCTTTAATCTGAGAATTAAAACACTTAAATATTGAGATATGTGGTTATTAACAGTAGATGTTTGCTATTTAAGAATAACCTGTTGTCAGATATTAATCACTCATAGTATTGAAATTCATCTATTAACTTACCACCAAAACCAGGATGTCAAAATGCAACCTTAACTAGTACTATAACCCCAGTCAGCAAAATATACTGAATCCGCTGTCAGAACAATACAGTTAAAGTTAAATGTAGAATCTCATATAGGGGAGAAGAGATGAGAATCAAATAAAACAATAAACAATAGGTCATCCAGAGTATCAGTATTTGTCTTTGAAAAGAAGTTAGAAACACACATTTGGATACAGAGGCAAACACATCATGAGCCTCAAGGTAGCTTGTTCTGGATTTATCTGGGCATGTAGAGTAGGAGGTAATGATAGGGAGGTTATCACAGATAATTGAAAAATGAACAACAGTGTAGTCTAGCTTAATCACTTTTACACGTTTCTTCGATATATAGGGATGTATCCAGTGCCTTCATCACACCAGAAAAAATAATAGACTGCTGTATAAATTAGAAGAACATAGTAATTGTAGCAATAATAATGATGATAGCTGATATTATTCTAATGCTTTACAGTTTGCAGAATGCTTTACGTACCTTATTCATTTTATCCTCACGAAGACCTGTGAAGTAGGGAGTACAAGTGTTATTATCCCCATCTTATAGCTCAGAAACAGAGATTTAGAGAAATTAAGTGGCTTGATCTTACATTTTCTCACTCCAAATCTAACAATCCTTTCACTGTACCACTGTGCCTCCCAATAAAGCAGAACCTTCCATTAAATGAAATTACTTTATGAATTCCATCTTTAGGAGAAAGAAATTACTCTAACCCCACTCCCCCCCAAAAAAGCTACTCCAAATCCAAATTCTGTATTAATTTTTTAAAGTTACTTGCAGGTTATCAATACAGGTTTAATTTGTGCTATATTTTTTCTACAACTACAAGATCATGCATTAAATTTTTATATTCTGAGTGACAGTTAATCTTCAACTTTCACAGGGGTGGCATTCCTATGAAATGACATGAAAGTCATAAATGCAAATGTTGACACATTGAACCTAAGACAAATAGGGAGTTAGGTTCCCACAACCACCAAAAACTCTAATCTTTCATCAGACATTGCTGACAATACACTTTTCTGCATACAGTTATTTATTTATTTATTGGTTAGGCAGTGGGGTTAAGTGACTTGTCCAAGGTCACACAGCTAGTAAGTGTCATGTGTCTGAGGGCGAATTTGAACTCAGGTCCTCCTGACTTCAGGGTCAGTGCTCTATCCACTGCTCCACCCAGCTGCCCCCATACCATTCTTTATAGCAAAACATTAATTCTTATAACATGTACTTTTCCTAACCATGAAATAACCAATAAAATGAGGTACACAAAACAAAATTGGTAGTATGCAAAACGTTTTTCTCACTAGTAATTCCCTAGAATTCTGTGACCTTTTGCACCAACATCTCAATTTAAAAACTAACATTGATTTCAGACAGTATTCAGTTCTTATTACACATGAAGTCTGCAGTACTATAAATACTGTACCGCAAACACAATTCTTAAGACTAAAACTTTTTTTAATCTGAACCTTGCCTTCTGCTGTGTCAGGTGGCAGTGTGAGGGTGTTGGGTGGTATACTTTCTTCCTTTTTATGGGTGTAATGAATCATTGATTCATTAACACCAAACTCGCAGACAACATTCTGGGACAAAGTTTACCTAATGCTTTTATTTTTTCACTAATACAATTATAGACTTGAGCTTTAGAGCCCAACAGACATGTTCTACGCTTTGGAGGCAAAATTCAAACACAAAACTTGAATTTTAAAGGCAAACAATGAAATATGCAACAAATGCACAGGGAACTCTTCAACAGTAGTGTGAACAAGACCAGTGAAGCTCTTAATAGGATACCAGCAGCTCCACAAACTTGCATGCATTGTACCTCTCTTTTTTTTCTCTGCTACACATAACTATTAATGTGTGTGGTTGCCAATGCAGAAGTAAAAAGGGGGTTACCAATAACATCACACAAATGTTTGAAATCATGAAAGTTAAACCACAAATGTTGAGAATTGACTGTATAACCTTGAGGCAGGGCAGGTTTCTCAGTCAACAAAGAAGGTTTCAGAGTGTTTCCTTAATTTTGTTCACTAAGGCAGAGGTAGGGAATGAATTTTTTTTTAAATTTTCAATAAACAGGGTTGAAACAAAAAGAGGTTTCAAAAGAAGCCAGTTAAATAGAATATCCCATTCCACCCAGCACTTCCATTAAGACAGTTTATCACAAACTATTATAATATTGAAATAATTATGTATTAAGTAAACCCATTTATTTAATCTATTAAAAAAAACCTATTTCAATGACATTTAAAAAATTCAGTGGAGCCAGTATAGCACATTTGAAAATTAGGAAACAAAGTGTAGGCTAAAGAGAGTCAGTGTTAAGGAGGCTGGAGACATGACTCCAGGTCCTAGCACTTCCACTGACTGTGACATTAGACAAGTCCCACTTAATTTTCTGACCTCTGTTTGCTTATCTACAAAAAGGAGTTCAACTATATGATCTAGTTTCAAATCTAAAATTCTGTGTTTTTAACCCTACTATTTGTGTGCCCTCCCTGGAAAAAATAAATATTTGCTATTGGCTCTGTGTATAATACAAATATATATTTCATATTTGGAAGATGCCTTAATGCTTCCACATTGCAGCTTCTGCTCTGTAACCCTTTGTGTCATTTCAGTTAGATTTCTAAATTATTGTAGTAGCTTAGCACAGGGGTTTTCACACTTTTTGAAATTATGGAACATGTATTTTTGTTCCAGTATTTCCATGGGTATATAACTTCATCATTATTGGTGTGTCCTGTTTCCATATAAATCACAACCCCATTCTAAGACTCAGAAGTTAAATGGTCTAAAAGAGATGTGATGATTGAAATCCCATTACCCCATGACCAACCTGGTGATAACTTCTGTACTAGAAGTCCTCCCAGTTTGGAAAGACCTACCACATTTTGTGGACATGGGAATGGATAGGGCTTTATATTCATATAAAAAGAATTTATAAACCTTGTTAAAGAGATTAAGTTTTAATGGCAAAAAGTGCAAAATTTATGGTAAATAACACTCAATCCACAGGAGGATCATTCTAGAATAATAAATATATGTGTGTGTGTGTGTGTGTGTGTGTACACACACACATGTATTCATAAAGTAGGATCAAAGGCAAGGGTTGTAGGGATATTGTACATTTTCTCTTTATGTTCCTTATTTGGGTCACAGTAACACAAACATAATAAATTATTTTGCTTGTACATAGTAACAAGTATCTTCCTCTTCACTTTCTGCTGTAGTTCTTAGTTGTACTTGTAAGCAAGGGCACTACTATTATTTGAAGCTGAGGAAATAACTTGGAGGTGTAAAGGGCGGGAGGGGAGACCAGCATCCAGATATCATAGTCTTACTTGAAGTAAGGGGAAGGGCAGAAGAGGGGAATACTAGTGATTTCTCATGCAAAAAAAAAAATCTAAAGCCTGGTTTCATTTTGCACAATATAGTCCCATGCTAACTTGTGCAAAGCACTAGGTAAAGCAGGATTTTTCAAATTCTTTAGTCACAGCTGCTTTATATTTCAGGAGGGTAAACCCTGATTTGTTTGTTTTTTTGCTTTTAACAGTTTGAAAAAGGCTGAGCTACAACCATGCCCTGGCTGTACAGGAGCTATGCTAAGATGATTAGTCATACTAAGATGAATTTCAGTCATAAAAGGGACCTTTGACACCACCTAGTTCATTCCTGTCATTTTATAGATGATGAAACATTGTGTCTTGTTCAAGATTATGTAGGTAATAAGTAGCAAAGCCGATACTACAGCCACATTTTCCTAATTCTCATTGAGGTTCAGTGCTTTTTACACAATACCACTGCAAAATTTTAACTTCTTATGGAGAATTCATACTATTCATTTTAACTAACACATCTTCATCCCCTGTGTTCTCCAATGTATCTCTGAGCATGTTTCATTTTTACTGGTGTATATAGTCTTCAAGGCATGTAACACTTAGATTAAGGCTACCTCTATTTTCTTAGTCTTCTCTGAGATTTTTAGTGATAAGCTAGTGAGAAATGAAAAAGAATATTTTCTGGTAAGCCATTTACCTAAAATAAAACAGTACTGTAGAGTTTCATAACCTTGAAAGTATGTCAGATTGTTTTTAATATAAACTTGTTTGTAGTTTGAAGTTTTGCCATTTCCCTAAAGTTAATTAGGCCCCCACAAAATCCTATTGTGACCCAGTTGTCACCATGTTGATGACTTGGTGTGGCTAAATACTCTTAAGAGAATCAAGTATTGTAACCCAAAGTTTTAAAAACATCTGTTAAAATTTTTTTTAATTTTTTGAAAAAGAAAATCAAGTAAACAAGAATTTCATTGCTTTGTTCCCCTTCCAAAAAAAATAAATTCTTAAATCATAAGATGATGAATTTAGAGCTAGAAGAAACATTAGAGATTATCTAGGCTAACCCCTTGTCTTATAGATGAGGAAACTGAGGCCAAGAGAATAAATGATTTACCCAAGGTGATGCAATAGGTAATAAGTGACAGAAATATGATTCGAATCCAGTTCCTCTTCATATCCAGTGTTTTTTCCATTGGATCACACACTGCCTATCAAATCAACAGATAGTTGAAAGGATACTATCTAGTTAGTACTTTATTCCTTTAATCAGCAAATATTTTTTCCAACTCCTGCTACGTGAGGCCCTGTGACAGTGCTATGTGAGGCACAAAGAATAAATCATAACTATAGTACCAAGTAGAATATAAGAGAATTAAAAAGTGCTGTGGAAACTGAAGAGAAGATAACTTCCATCTGCAAAATATAGTGTGGTCACATCTGTTCATCTTTGATTGGATTTATTAAAGTAGCTACTACCAATATTGGTCATTGCTGAAATAACCACTGGAACTCTGACAGAT